ACATGTCCTGATGATTGCGTTTATCATGAAACAGACTGTCGCCTCTTGGTGTTGACTTGAATGTCCACTTTTATATTTACATACGCTCTGTCCGTGATATTGAACACTTTACCCGATAAATATAGCATATATTAAAACTAAATAAATAGCATACATTATCATATATATATATATATATATATATATATATATATATATATATATATATATATATATATACACACACACACACACACACACACACACACACATACACAAACATATATATATATATATAAAATTAAGAAAAATCCTGAGGATGCAGTAAAAACCAACTATGAAATAAATTTAAGTTTATTACTTGAAAATTCACAAATAAGGTTTTTTTTTTAAATTTTCTCATTATATTGCTCTGTATGATTTGTTATTATTTTTATACATTGAGCTCTCTACTAGGAGTTTTTACCGGGATATTCATTCTTTAGAAATTCCTCGGGATTATATATATATATATATATATATGTGTGTGTGTGTGTGTGTGTGTGTGTGTGTGTGTGTGTGTGTGTGTGTGTAATAAATTAAAATCCAGAATAAAGATGAACGAATTATATATATATTTATTTAAAACCAGTTTTTTATTTATTATTTTTATTATTGAATTTATAATTTTTAGTTTTTAAAAAATTATTTATTCATTTTTCTATTACTATTATTATTATTGAGATGTACATTACACGGAAATTGATTTTCTTTTTACTCTCGACTTAAACTTAATGGAGAGGAGATTACACTTCGTTACGATCAATTTAAAGTAAACGAATTGTCGAAGTCGAATCTATTAGATCTAAAAATTCTCAGGTGAATGAGTGTGAGCTGAGACAAAGCGAGCAATGTTCAGTGTTTTTCTTTGCGCATGCCTACAGTTGTAAAGGCGTTCGCCATTAATATAAATATAGAAAATAAATTGAGTTTTCGCAAGAGCTTCTACGAAAGCTATTAAATTCAAACTTCTCAATCACAATAATTATTTATATTAGACCATATTGACAAACGTGTTAACACAGTAAGTCACTCACTGGATTTGAAATTGAAACGACTGCTTTTGGTTAGTTTGTAAACCACAATTCCATACGTTTCTCAACAAAGACAACACACACACGCACACATATATATATGAAAATAAAAATGTTATTTTTATCTGTGCTACTTTTTATGGTAAATATTCTCAAAACTAGGTAAGATAGAAAATAGTGGACACTGAGGTCAGCATCGAGCGACCACAGACTCAAACCATGTGTGTTGTGTGATGGCTAGACTATTTATATATGCTGGTCAATGGTGTATTATAGGTAGCAATGTCGACTGTATTATGCTAACGATTATTAGGTAGGTACTAACGGTTATATATTTTTATATTATTATTCTAGAGGCTATTGAGTATAAATAATTGTGGATTCAAATGTGGTTATTTATAGCTATTGTATAGTGTTAACACATTATTTGTTATTGATTACTTAGTGCATTTCGTATTTATTCATTATTTCTTGTTGATTATTATTATTATTATTACATTTACTTGTGTTTATGTTTGCATTCGTAGTTTGTTAATTTGTTTATTTAATTTTTTTGTTTATTTGTTATTTTTTTCTTTTGAGACTTTGTCATCATATTTTTTTAAAGTATTGGCTTTGTCTAAATATGTTATATCGTCTGCTTTGTATATAGTATGTATATTTGAATTATTCATTATGGTATTCGTTTTAAGTTTTCGATTTTTAAGTAACTTAATAAAAATTTGTTTGGTGTCTACATTTTTGAGATAAGTTCTGGTCATTTATTTAGTAATTTGTGTTAGACCGAGAAGGTGATTATAAATATTTCCTCCTCTAAACTGTTCACAGTTTTTGGATTTATTGTTGCGGGCTGATGGTGTTTTTTTTATTTTACATATTTTTGGTGTATTTTCGTTTTTATTTTCATTTTCCTCTATATATTTTTGTAAGAGCTGTGCTGTTCGCGTATTTAATATTTGTAAAAAACGTAGTTTTTCTGTTTCTATGATCTTTCAGTTATTCCTATGTATATTTGCGTTGGTTATTTGCTGATTGTACAGTGACTTGCTATATTATATTGTTTTACAAGCAATTTCTATTTAAGGGACATTTATGTTTTGATCTGTAGTTACAGGTGGGTTTGATTTGTACGGGAGGTTTGCTCATTGATTGTCCGTTGTGCTTTTCTCATTTGTGCCATGTTCTTGGTTGAATGATAGCTGATTTTTGCTGTGTTTTTGTTGAATATCTTGACTGCTTCATGAGGAGTTTAATGAATATTTTTCTATGATTACTTTTATGCTCTTGTTGTATGGTGGGTTAAAGCATATGATGTTTCTTTTTCCGTTGGTTTCTTTTTACTGTGGGGTCTGTATTTGAGTTTTGTTGAAAATTCACTATTTTTAAGTCTGTTATAATATTTCTTGGCTTCGTTGAAGATGGTTTCACCAGAAGAATTATCAGATAACCTGCGATTAATTCATTGTGTGAACTACTTAATTACTGTTGGAGGATGATTGGAAGATGTGTGTATGTAAAGTGGTTTGTCGTTGGGTTTTCTATGTGTTTGATATTTACCTTTTCTTAGGTTGAGTGTGGCGTCTACGAAATCTATCTCTTTTAGGTTAGTTTTTATGTTCATTTTTGCGATTACTTTTCTGGTTTGTGTTTGTTTTTTACAGTTGCCCCAGTCGAGGCCTATATCATTTTTATCGACTATTTTACTTCGTTCATATTCTAAATATATGCTATGGGCTCGTTCATTTCTATGCTATGGAAACGTCCCAGTGTAACATCGAATGTTCCCTTTGTCACAAGTCTTCCTTGTACAATAATAGTGATTTTCGGCTGTGCATGATGATTTTTATTCTATTTTTGCTTATATTTATTTGTTCTTGAGCTAAGAAGATGTCATTATCTAGCATGGGTTCAGTTATTGATGTAATGGAATAACCAGTCATCCCCATGAACGATTACACTTTAGGTAGCAAGTAACTATAGTATAAAGTCAACAAGAGACTCAGGACAGGAGAGTGATAGAGACGACGCAAGCACGTCCGACCTCCCAATAGTGGCACTCACTACTAGATTGACCTGTGTGTATAACTGCACCATATTTCATATTGTACTTGTTGTGTACAATAAACCTTTCTTCTAGTATCCACCTGGTGTTAAGTATTTATTCTCTTAGCACGGAATATAACAGTTATTGAATGGTAGAAATCTTTCATATCTAGTTGTATAAATTTGCAATTATGTTTGTTTTTAGGTTATGGAACCAGTCGATTGTTGTTTTTGTGTTTTTCGACTGGCTTACGCCTTCGTCATTAGTTCTGCACAAGTAAGCGTAATAAGAACAATCAGCAACAAATAGTAAAGAAATCAATAATAAATAACGAGT